TAGGGGTAGAGGCACCATGAAAAGAGGCTGGAAAGAGTGCAAAGAAGAGCAAGCAAAATGGTGAGAGACTTGGAGGCTGAATCCTAAGAATTATAATTTTAAACCACTGGGTACATTTAACCTAAAGAAGAAAAGCTTAAGGAGAGACATGGTAGCAGTCTTCCAGTTCTTGAAGGGCTGTCACCAGGAAGAGAATGTAGATTTATTCTCTGCAGTGTCTGAAGATAGGATAAGAACCAAACCCCGAAAGATTTGCATGCAGATATATCCAAACTTGAAATAAGGAGTTATTTTCTGATCAAGGAGCTAGTGGAACAGCCTGCCTCCTGGAGTTATTCAAACAGGCATTTGTCTGGGATGATCTGGAAAGATCTGTCCTGAGCAGTGGTTAGACTAGGAGACATCCAACATTCATTCCAACCCTCAAGTTGAAAATCATCCAGGAAAAGATAACAGGGAAATTAGTATTTTCTACTGAAGCAATCTGTAACTCTTCACCCCAAGGACCATTTTTGCAATTCTTGAAATCCGTTTTGCCCATAACTGCTAAAAACTGGTGACACCGTTTCCTGCCACTTGGAGAAGAAGAACCACAGAGAAACAAAAGTCCTAAACAAGGCTTAACACATTTTTAAATGCCAAGACAAACCTTAAGTTTCCCCCCCAAACCTATGCACTGATACCAAAGCTAATTTTATATTTGGGAAAAACATATCTGATATAGAATTTAATTCAACATGGAATCCATTTTTAGACTATAAACCTGTGAGCAGGTTTCTACTGTGGATAAATTTTCCTAATATTAGTAATTAAGATTAAGATATTGATCTCTTTATGATCTTCTAAATTCAGCAAATTCCTTGCATTAAGCAGAAATTATTACAATTTTTAATTCTAGTTTATAATTTAGAATTTGAGTCATACTGGTTATAGCTGTAAAATGCTGCCTAATACTCCGAATTTAATTGTGATTATTTTAATATTGACTTAAAATGTGCAACTGGCACAATACAGTATAATATGGGATACAAAGAAATATGCAGATCTCTATCAATGCCATTTGGAATGGTTCTTTCTCTTCTCTTTGTTGTCTTCAGGTATTATAAATATGATTATCATTATGAATTCCAGCAACATTTTTTGCATCATCACCCTATATAATATAGTTTTTAGCTAAAAGTTATATTTTTACTACAACCATGAAATCACGTACCGTGGATGAACTCAAACTGGAGGCAGAGGAGCTAGTATTTATTCCTTTAATTGGGGGGCTCACTGGATACTCCCCTGAAGGTGAAGAAACCAAAGCTGACCCTTGTCCATTTTTCAATCCGTTGTTATTCTAAGGTTTTGAAATAATTGGGAGAAGAAAAAAAGGAAGAATTGTTCTCATAACCTGCCTGCAATAGGGTAATCTCCTAATCTTAAAACCCATCACTGTGAAATTCTAGCTGCGGAAGGATACATACAAGAAGAGACGGTATATCACAACTGTAGTATGCCCTTCTATATGTGAATTCCCAGTTGGAGGTTACATGGTAAAAATTCAATGTTACCAATCCCCATTCAGGGAGCGGAGAAGTGGAGACAAAATTTTAGTTTGGAATGTCACCTCTGAATAAAGTCCGTTAAACAGGGCAGGGCAGGGCTAACCTTTATTGTCACTTTTTTCTGTGAACAGACTGGCACACATTAAAAAATAAAATAAAATGAAATTCTGATGCCTGCTCTCAAAAGTGTGTGTGTGTGTGTGTGTGTGTGTGTGTGTGTGTGTATGCAAGGGATTACAGCAGGGGTCTTCAAACTTGGCCCTTTTATGACTTGTGGACTTCAACTCCCAGAATTCCTCAGCCAGGCACGTGTGCCTGGCTGAGGAATTCTGGGAGTTGAAGTCCACAAGTCATAAAAGGACCAAGTTTGAAGACCCCTGGATTACAGGGTCATTAAATAAGAAAAAAAGAGAGGCCATCTCTGCCTTTGTACCTGCACGGTGTCCCTGAGAGATGGGTCCACTCCAGGCTGTTCTTGTTCCTCTATCTCGGAATTCAGACTGCTGAATGAGCTGCTTCTCTCTGCAATGGTCAGTGGGGTAAATGGAGAGGGACAAGATGAGGCACGGGACTTGGAAACTCGACAGTTCTGTGCAAGGTTTAATGCTGCCCCCGTGTCTCAAAGACACAGCACAAATAAGTTTGCCACAAAATGTCACAACATGGGATGTTCCTGTTCAGAATGCCAGCTAGCCAGTCCCATGTCGTTTGCACCCAACACCCAGACACCCATTCAGAGAAAGTGGACGTGGCCATTCATCACTAGATGGTTTTGGATCCTTCCCTCAAATCTTGCAAGATTGTTTTCCTAAAGCAGGGGTCTCCAAACTTGGCAACTTTAGGACTTGCTAAAAGAACTTTAAGCATGGCTGCTAATGGGCTTATGCACAGTAGGGATGGAGAGGAAGAAGCTGACTTTTTGTACATGGTTTGCTTCGTGCTTTGGAAACAAGCAAGTAGCTTTTTGGGGAGAGAAGATCTCAGGGTCGCCATAAGTGATGAATTCTTATTTCTGGGACCTTCACTATTTTGTTTTCTCCCCAATTGCTTTCTTGAGTACAAATGGAAACTCTCTCCCTCAAAATAAGAACCCTGATTGGGAGAAGGAGTGAATTTTCTTCAGAATACAGCGATACCTTGGTACTCAGCTGCTTTGAAACTCATCAGATTTGGTACTCAACGCATTTTGATGCAAAATTTTGTCCCGGTACTCATCATTTGTCTGGTACTTAAGCAGAAGCTAGAACCTGTCAGTGTCAGCTGCCTTGTGACTCACTACATTATTCCTTATTGGAAAAATTAGTTTGGTGCTCATCATTTTTGGTAATCATTGTGCCTCCCAGACCCAATTAACAATGAGTACCAAGGTACCACTGTAATGGCTACGGGGAGATGAATGCTGCTGCCTCTCTCAGATCTCTGCAGCCCCAATCCTTCCTCAAGTTCAGGGGGACCTAGGTGGGTATTTACACCCAAAAGGAAGAACCACACACTAATGCAACGTGTCTGTTTTGTGGCTGCCCCCTAGCACAGCTGCACATTTCTGATGGGTTTTTACCTAAAGCGTTTTCAACAGCCGACTCCGGGAAGCAGACCGCATCCTTGGACATGAGATTGGCCTCCTAAGAGAGAAAGCAAGAAGCGATCTGCTGTGGTCACTGGACACAGAGGACCTGAACACAAACATATCTTCAGATCCTTATCGGCCTAAGCCAAACTGCATCAGCGACTGCAACTGCACCCAGAGCTAGACAAAGGACTCTGAGGCTTACAACAACAAAATGCTCTGGATCCACAAGTCTCCAGGGATATTTGCAAAGTTCTAACATTAAAAGTCTTCTTCCTTAGATTTTTTTTCCCAAATCTTATTTGCACAAAGGCCACCCTCGCACTCAGAATGAAGAATCAATATTTTTAAAGGGGGCCAATTTAATACCAAAGGGCAAACAGTGGCTTTCCGGATTTTGCCAAATTTAGCCTCCCTATGAGTAAGTGAGAACTGGAAAAGTACAGAAGCATCTCTAGAGGTTGCCAGCTTTGGTTTCTGGAGCTGAATCAAAGTTTCTGCATTTCAGAAGTGATGCTCCTGCTCCAGGTGTGCTATTGGCAGGGAGAGCCTTAGAAATGAGCATATTGGGCAGTTGCCCTGATTCTCCTTCAGCTCCAGCACCCTGACTGTATTGTTACACCTCCTGCCATTTACAACTGGCACAAATGTTCACAACCACCACCTACTCTGGATGATGGATTACTTGACCATAATAAACCACTTACCGGGGTCCTTGTCAGCTGGAAAGTCTGAGGCACAGCAGTCCCAGGGAGCAGTCTATAAGGAAAAGAGATGTGATTGTTGTTGTTGTTGTTGTTGTTGTTGTTATTTCATAGCAAGGTCTCTGGCTCCATCCCCAGGAGATGTTTGATTGGGTCCCACCCAGACTGCCTTCCAGAAGCTGCTTTTAAGGGCATTTGGGCCTTGAATCAAACTTTGATTTCATCTTGGTTTGATTATAGCTTTGTTTGGTTCAACTACTTTTATTCTATATTTTTATTATTCATTGGATCTTTATTTGTATACATCTGTTTATTTCTTAAGCAAGTTATGTGTAAACTACCAAAAATCCTCAGGGATTTGGCACTCTACAAATAACAATACTAAATATGGTAAGGATTTAGACACGTTCTAAAAGAAAGATTGGAAGAAGTGGATTTGTTTTCTGGAAAATATCAGGGAGTGTGGATGGACAATGTTAATACCATTCTTCAAATACCTGAAGGTTTTTTGCATAGGAAAGGAAAACAACTTGTCTTCCACTACTCCAGATAAGGATAAATTTCAACTGAAAAGCATTAAGCAGTTAAAAGTGGAGTGGGGACCAACTGGAGGGGAGATTACATGGCTCAGCAGATGATGCTGAACTGTATTTCCCAGCTTCCATCATTATTGATCATGCCAGTGGGTGCATCATCTGGAGGACACAGGATCTCTTCTTCAATATAAGGGATTCAGTGACTTTCCCCTCAGTTGAGGTCTTCAAGAAGAGGTTGAAGTACTATATTTTGGGAATGTTCTACCTCTGAATTTCTTCAAAGACTTTGGATTGCAAGTGGGAGAAAGCAAAACCTCAGATGACAGGCAGATGATCAGTAAGATACTCCAAAGCTGAATGGTAGCAGAAATAATTCTATTTAGTTAAGTCAAAGAAAGGAGTACATTTATTTATGAAGAGTCAAGATTGAGCTCTGATTCTAGCAATGTAGCCAAATATTTGGGCATGGGTTCAGAAGAAATATCTTGTTCTGAAATTCTTCAAACCATGGGTTCAATCAAGAAATTGAATTACAATGTCTGGGTTGACATTTCTTTTTGCTGGCCAAACTTGTTTCAAGAACCATTGCTGCCACATTTCCTATCTCTAGCTCATTGCTTGAGCTTCTGTTGAAAGCTTCTCAACAGAAGCTTTCTTATGTCATCACCCTTAACAAAATGTCTACAGCTTTCTCAAAGAACTCTTCCTCCTTGATAATTTAGGAAATGTTTTCTGTTGTAAGAATGAAGCTTTAGCTGTTTGTAACACCTTTTGAGAAGCTTGCATTTTCATAGCAAAAACACAACTTCCTTCCACCTGAATATGAAAACTGCTTACCCATCCATAGTCTCCATCGTCTTCTCATCCTCTGGCACAACCATGGCCTCCATTATCTTCCCATCCTCTGGCACAGGTTCACTGATCATAACTACATTCTCCAGGCTTCTTTGTTGCTTGAGTTCCTGTTCATCTGCTTTGGTAGGGTGAAAGTAGTGACTTATCAAAGAGAGATCCAACATAGAACTAAGGAGACATTTCTTGACAGTGAGAACAATTAATCAGTGGAACGGCTTGCCTTCAGAAGTTGTGGGTGCTCCATCACTGGAGGCTTTCAAGAGACTGGACAGCCACTTGTCTGAACTGGTATAGGGTCTCCTGCTTGAGCAAGGGGTTGGACTAGAAGACATCCAAAGTCCCTTCCAATTCTGTAATTTTGTATTCTGTATTCTTTTACTGCCTAGCTTTATGCGCCATAACAAAGTCAACTGTAACCAAAAGCACTTTTCTTTTCAGAAACAATACTGCATTGATCCAAAAGAATGAGAAATCCGAACTGAGGATAACTCTCCTTATTACCTCAGAAAAGGAAGATGAGACAGGGGGAAAAAATCATCCATCCTCACCATGATATTTTGAGCAACCTGAGGCAATCCTCTCCTTTAAAAGCTACACTGTAAGATTGTGAGAGCTATTAACACCAATGGAGCAGTCTGCCTCCTAAAGCTGTGGGTGCTCCATCACTGGAGGTTTTCAAGACAGGATAGGACAGCCATTTGTCCAGAATTATATGAAGGTTTCTGCACTGGGCACGGACTTGGACTAGAACTTGGCAACTTTACGACTTGTGGACCTCGACTCCCAGGGGAATTCTGAGAGTTGACATCCACAAATCTTAAAGCTGCCAAATTTGGAGACCCCTGGACTAGAAGATTATATGATTATTTGAGGAGCAGTCTTCATCAGTTAATGAGTTCCCAAAACATTGCTTCTCTTGTTTCTTTTTCCCTAATCTTGAAACCTAAGGAATAAGAGGACAGTCAAGAATCTTCTTCTCTTACCTTTGGGCTTCTTCCTCCGGCGGATCGAAGCTCGGACAATGTCTGCCCCGAAGAGATTGCGCTGGTGCCGTTTGGAACGGACATCACGAAACCATTCGCCGGACAAGATCTTCAGCCAGTTTGGGTCAGAGACAGATTTGCGCAGGTTGCTTGAGGGGGCAGAAAAAGGGAAAGAGAAACAAGAAAATTGGAAAGCTTTGCTGGACCAGAATTTCCTCTTTTTCTTCCTCCTCATTATCACCTATTTAGAATCCAAATGTTTTGTCCAGCAAGCTTTCAAGGCAGAAAACACAGTTAGTTGGAAGTGAATCAAAACAGTTAAAATTATTAATTCAGGCCAAGAAGGATTTGGGAAAAGGAGAATCCAATGCTTCTAGAAAGACGAAGCTATGGTAGCTAAATGCAACCTTATGATTGCTTGCCTGGAAATAAGTTCAACTAAATTCAAGGTGACTTCTTCGTGAGACGTAAGACTGGACAGTAACCCATATGCCAGGAAGGACATGTGTCATCTTTCAGACTCACGTAAATCACAGTTGACATGACCAAAGCTGAGAAGCTGAAAGTTTTTAGGCCAGATAAGCTAGGAGGGATATATAAGTTCCCAACTCCAATGCATACTAATAGCAAACTCAATATTCTGTGCAGATTGCTACACAACCCACACTGCATTGCCTCTTTGTAAGGAAGCATTATCAACCAGGAGGAACCTCAAAGTTTGTTAAAGTATCCTCATAAGGTGATAGGAAGCAAGGGATGATAAGTGACTTTAGGTGTTATAGTACAAAATATGCAATTTCTGATGATATTGCTGCAATTTTATAATTTGCCTCTTTTGCATAATATCATTATGCCCCATCAGTGCTGGTCTTTTAAAAAACTCTTAAGACTTACCGGTAGATGTTCATCCAGGAATAAGTGTCAGACCTATGTGTGGTATTCTTAGTCTACTATTGACAAATATAGCCTCAATTGTCCTTTGGCTTTTGTGTATGTGCATATGTATATGTAATTGTTATATTTATATTTTTAACTATATAGTCCTCGATTTATGATCACAACTGGGACCAGAATTTTGGATGTTAATCAAGGCAGTTTTTAAGTGACTCACACCTAATTTTATCACTGTTTATTGCTACAGTTAAGCAAATCACTGCAGGTATTAAGTGAATCACACGGTCATTAATCAAATCCAGCTTTCCCCATTGACTTTGCTTGTGGGAAGCCAGCTGGCAATCATATAACCCTGGGGCACTGCAACCATCATAAATACATGCTGGTTGCTAAAGCACCCAAATTTTGATAACGTGATCATGGGGATGTTGCAACGGTTCTAAATGCAAATACTGGTTGTAAGTCATTAAATGAATGGTTGTAAATTGAGGACTATCTGTATATGCTGCACAGAGTTGCCTTGGCGAGATGGGTGGCCATATAACTTGAATCAAATTAAATCAAATCAATAAATTATGTTGTGCATGACATCATCATGATTTCTAATAGATGCCAAAGGCCTATAGAATTTTTTTTTAAAAAAACCTAATGGGGATGGACACGAAAGCAGCCCAAGTCTAAACATCAGTGGCTCTGGGTTCCTTGCTAGGGTGGGGTATGGCAAGACAAAAATGAAAGGAAGAATAATGTAATGGACACTCTCCTGAGTTGCTCCTTTAAGCACATGGGTAGGAAAATGTCCCACTCAAATCTTGCCCTGCCCACTCCCGTATGGCTCGGCCAGTACAAAAGACGTACCAGGTCCCACATTTGGCCTGATGACCATAGATTGCCTATGTACGGCCTCAGTGAATGAAACCATGGAAGACATCTTGGAGAGAAGACCCCATTAGAAATAGAGATGATCCTAATCTGGCCACTTTAAGAAAGCATCTAAAATCTATTGAGACAACCACCACAGAACAGGTTCTCACTTGATCCGTCCTTCCTCACACATCTGGAGCTGCAAGTCTCTGTGCAAAACTTTCAAAATTGCATTCTGCTCCTCCTCGGTCAGGAAGCTGAGGTCCAGCAGGGCCTCAATGCCAGGGTCTTGATCCATGGAAAGTACTTGGTAAGAATGTCTCAAGTCAACACCATCCAGTTCTAATCCCACCAGCGTTTGCTAAACATTAGTGTCCTCCTGCCGATGCATCCTCAGTGTGGAACTGGAAGGTCCAGCCAGCAGGCAGATGTTATTGTTCTCCTTGTTGCCATAGGTACAGGAACAATTCTCAAGAAGGAAGCACCTGGCTCTGACCGATGAGACATGGGTGATGACTCTCCATTCAGGTTGCCTTCAGAGAATATGCACCCTACTGGGGGGAGAGATAAAGGAATGGTTTTTCTTTCTTTTTTTAAGCTAACAAAAGGGCCCATGGCCCACTCAAATTGATGCACATGTAGATAGCTTTTCTTAAAAGGAGAGAGAGAGAGAGAGAGAGAGAGAGAGAGAGAGAGAGAGAGAGAGAGAGAGAGAGAGAGAGAGAGAGAGAGAGAGAGAGAGAGAGAGAGAGAGAGAATGCTTATTGAAAGATGCAACAATGGCTGTGTATAACAGTGTGATTTTCTCCAAATTGCTATATGAAAGTGAGAGATGAATTTGTCAAGAAAAACATAAGTGAATGCAATAGGAAGGAACACTTAGGAAGCGTGCTGGACAAAACATGAAGAGAGAGGGTTAAAATAAAATGGTGCTTAATAAATGTGGATTGAATCCAAACATGAGTGACTAATTTGAAAGGATCACATTATTTTTTATTCTCTATTATAATATCAATTTATATAGCTTGGGATCTTAGGAGTCCTAGTGGGCAATCACTTAAATAGGAGCCAGCAGTGTGCTGCAGCTGCCAAAAAAAGCCAACACAGTTCTAGGCTGCATTAACAGAGGGATAAAATCAAGATCACGTGAAGTGTTATTACCACTTTATAACGTCTTGATAAGACCACACTTGGAATACTGCATCCAATTTTGGTCACCATGATATAAAAAAAGATGGAGAGACTCTAGAAAGAGTGCAGAGAAGAACAAAGATGATTAGGGGATTGGAGGCTAAATATATGAAAAACATTTGGAGGAAATAATAATAATAATAATAATAATAATAATAATAATAATAATAATAATAATAATAATAATAATAATAGTAGTAGTAGTAGTAGTAGTAGTAGTAGTAGTAGTAGTAGTAATGATGATGATGATGATGATGATGATGATGATGATGATGATGGGGACCTTGGAGGTCATCTAGTCCAACCCCCTGCTCAGGCAGGAAACCCTATACCATTTCGGACAAATGGCTGTCCAGTCTCTTCTTAAAAACTTCCAGTATTGGAGCATTCACCGCTTCTGGAGGCAGGTTGTTCCATTGGTTAATTGTTCTAACTGTCAGGAAGTTTCTCCTTAGTTCTAGGTTGCTTCTCTCCTTGATAAGTTTCCATCCGTTGCTTCTTGTCCTGCCCTCAGGCGCTTTGGAGAATAGCTTGACTCCCTCTTCTCTGGGGCAGCCCCTGAGATATTGGAACACTGCTATCATGTCCCACCTCGTCCTTCTCTTCGTTAAACTAGACTAGGGGTGACATGATAGCAGTGTTCCAATATCTAAGGAGAAATGTCCTGATGGTTAGAACAATTAATCAGGGGAATGACTTGCTTTTAGAAATTGTGGGTGTTCCAACAATGGAAGTTTTTAAGAAGAAATTGGACAACCAATTGTCTGAAATGGTATAGGGCAGGGGTCTTCAAACTTGGCTGCTTTAAGACTCGTGGACTTCAATTCCCAGAATTCCTCAGCCAGCCATGCTGGCTGAGGAATTCTGGAAATTGAAGTCCACAAGTCTTAAAGAGGCCAAGTTTGGAGACCCCTGGTATAGGGTCTCCTGCTTTAACAGGGGTTGGAGTAGAAGACTTCTGAGGTGCCTTCCAAGTCTGTTATTCTGTGGTCTCCCAATTGCAACTCTGAGTATTGAACACAGAATTAAAAACAACAGAAGCAATGCAAGAAAGTAATTATAACAACAGTACAGTAACACCATAATGGTACCAAAAGAACAATCTAACTTAATCTATAAAACAATAATTATAATAAGAAACATTATATTGATGGGCTCATCCAAGCTCCAGACTCTGCACTTGAAGGAACAACCAGTTCTTCAAGGATTTATGAAATGCCAGTGGAGTCATTGCCAAGCAAATACAGTGGTACCTTGGTACTTAATGTGAATTGGTTCTGGGAGACGCGATGGGTACCCAAAATGATGAGTACTAAACAAATTTTTCCCAAAAGGAATAATGTAGTGCAGGGGTCTTCAAACTTGGCCCTTTTATGACTTGTGGACTTCAACTCCCAGAATTCCTCACCCAGCATGCCTGGCTAAGGAATTCTGGGAGTTGAAGTCCACAAGTCATAAAAGGGCCAAGTTTGAAGATCCCTGATGTAGTGAGTCACAACTCAGCCGACACCAACAGATTCTAACTTGTGCACTGAGTACCAAGCAAGCAAAGAGTAATTTTTGCATCCAAATGCATTGGGTACCAAATTTGATGACTTTCAAATCAGTTGAGTACCAAGGTGCCACTGTATCAAGGGGCATGATGTTCCATAGAGCAGAACCTTCAAAAGGGAAGGCATGCTTTCTGGGCCCCACCAGATGGCACTGTTTAATAGTTAGGATGGGATGGGCAACTATGGCAGCTGTACAACCTGTGGACTTCAACCCCCATTCATGCTGGCTCAGGAATTCTGGGACTTGAAGCCCACAGGTTGTAAAGTTGCCATGGTAGCCCACCCCTGAGTTATGACCTGGAGCACACCCAATTTGCAAAATTAGGGACAAGAAGAAAGATTTGGAGAAAGCATTGTGGTCATATAGAGAGAATTGCAAAACAAATCTGTGAAAGAAGAGTGACTGGGTCAAGAGCAAGGAGAAGCTCAAGAGAGCCATGGGTGGATGGAGCTGGGGTTGCCTATCCTTCCAGCAGCTGTAAAGCAAGGCTGCCTCTCCCTTCATATTTATTCTTCTTTTATAGCAAACATTCAACATACTGTGATTACCGAGTATGCCCAACAGAGAGGAGTTTTGAGGAAAGCTTGTGTTTGTTTTGGAATCCATAAGGTTGCATTTCTATAACAAGATTCTTATTGTGATTCAGTCAATCTCAACAGTTCCCTGAGCATGTCAAGGTCTTTTTATTCTTTCTCAAGCTTCCTGTTTTGCTCCTTGTCTGTGTAGCTCCCGCCATCTACATTCATCCTCAAAAGGCAGGAACAATTGTGAAGTACTAATGCCTGGCTCCAACCATAACATTTTTTTTATTTCATTACAATCAATAGCTGTTTGACTACACAACTGTATTTTATTCATTTTTAATTCTCTATTCGTGTTTGTAAAGACTTTTCTGTCGTTATGGAAAATTGCGCTGAAGTCTGTGGCAAATCCCCTTTTCAAAAGAGTGATTACTCAAGGAGAAGAAAAGAGAAATAAGCTTGAATAAGTTGGCAGTCTCTTAAAAGGTTCTTTCATGCCCACCTCAAAAGGATGAATGAAAGTTTTGAAAACTTTGTTTTGATGACCAACAGACTTCCTACTCTGCTTGCTAAAACGCTTTGGCATGGAATTACAAAACTCAGACACTGGCATTATTTGCAAAAAAGTAAAGATACTTCTTCGAATCAAAAGATTAACAGAAATGCCAAAAAATAGAAAATAAAGCACTTTAAAAAAAAAGAAAAGAAAGCATGCAGCTTCTGAATTCTTGCAATGTGGACTTCTCTCCTTGTCAACTGTTTTTCAGCAGGATCCCACAACCTATGAATTTCTTAGTGGGCTTCCTGAAGATGATGAAAGAGACTTTGAGCAACCAGTGCTGGTGTCACAATAATCCAGAGGAGGCCTTTTTCACAAACAGGAGTCGTAGTTCCCTGGCCACCCAGACCGAGAGAATCACTTCGGAAACCTAGCCAGCTTGGTCTAATGGTGAAGGCACCAGGCTAAAAAGTAAGAGACTGGGAGCCTTGGCCATGAAAGCAGGCTGGGTGACCTTGGGCCAGTCACTCTCTCTCAGCCCAACTCACCACACAGGGTTATTGTTGTTGTGGGATTCTTTGATGAATCTGGCTCCCCCATTGACTTTGCTTGTCAGAAGTTCGCAAAAGGGAATCACGTGACGTCAGGACCCCGCAACAGTCATAAATACATGCCAGTTGCCATACATCCAAAGTCTGATCGTCTGTACACAGGGATGCAGCGACAATCGTGTGTGCAACAGTCATAAATACATGCCAGTTGCCAAGCATCCAAAGTCTGATCGTCTGTACACAGGGATGCAGCGACAATCGTGTGAAAAATAGGTATAAATCATTTTTTTTAGTCCTTCTGTGACTTTAAACGGTCACTAAACAAATGGTTGTAAGTCAAGGACTACCTGTAGCACCATCTCACTGGCAAAGAAGTGTGATGAAGACACTTCGATGGTTTATTGACTTTATTTTATATGTATTTTTTTTTAAAAAAAGGAATTGAGCCTATGGCCAAGTTGTTCAAGACTCCAAAATGAAAATAGGAGGAATCCCAAACAGTTTTACACTAATACACATTAGTGATTAAATACTGTCTGGCAATCAAGGTCACATCCAATTCCACAGCATATCACAAGCAGCCATTAAGCAGCCACTCTTTTAAAAGGCAGTGGTGTTTTTTTTTTTTAAAAGGGAAACTTCACCATTCAGCAAACTCGAAAATGAAGCTCAAATAAGTAGCCTAGATGCCCACAGACCCATTTTTGCTGTAACAAACTAGGATAGATATACCTCTACCAGCAACAGGAAGGCTATGTCTCTCCACTGGAGGTGTGTGTGTGTGTGTGTGTGGGGCCTTTGGCAAAGAACTGTCTCAATCTTGCAAACTCAAATCCAGAAAAGAAGAAATAAAAGAAAAAAATAGGGAAGGCTATGCAAACAAAACCGGTTTGTCAGCTCTCAGGAAGCCACGTGATTTGCTCCAATGTATCCTACAGTAACTGGGTCAAATTCAAGGTCTTATCTGCTGGGGGAAGGGGGGGGGAATATTCTAGAAGGCAGGTAAATTTCAACCAGGCTGTTGATTCTGAACTCCCAAAAGTTGCATTCACACAACACGTGGCATCACAAAGTAAGCAGCCACAATTTGATCTGCTGGTTTATCAAATTTAGTCTATGCAAATCAAGCTGAGCAAAAGCAAATACAGTGAACTATGAGTAAATACAGCCTAGATCAGTGTTTCTCAACCTTGACAATTTTAAGGCATGTGGACTTCAACTCCCAGAATTCCACAGCC